CAGTGTCATCTGCTTTTGATCGCCACTGCAATAGGGGGGGGGGTGTAAAGGAAATATAGTCGCATACTCGTAGGAGAGGTAGCAGATGACAAAGCAGATACACCTCGCAATATCGATAAGAAGCAGTACGGCACTTGGCAGTAGAACCTGGAAGTCAGGCCCAGGTTTTGGCCTTCGTTTCGTCTTTGAGTAGGCGCGCAGTGTGCTTTCGGAGGGGCCAGTCTGGACACATTGCCCACTCAATTCTCGAACTTGCTCATTCTTAGAGAAAGAAGGAAGCCTTTTGTACATCTAGAGATAATCAGTTGAGCTTGAATCAAAAGGCTTTCGAGTGTATTATCAGTTCTTATCTTCAGGTCCAGGTCACCTCATATCAGGAAACCTCGATTTGCTCGCAGAAAGCTTAAGCCTTAGTCCAAGCGTAAGCCAAGGCTCAAGGTAAGGTGTATCCTAAGTTTGAGTGAGCCTAAGCCTGTCCCTTTGCTTAAATTTTCGCACAGCTCTGGTTACCTCACATAGGAGAACGATGGTCTATCAGACCAGAGGGCGTGGACGAGCACGAAAGGGCGTAGGTGACCAGGCGGCGACTAACCCCTCCCAAGGGCCGTTGCACCAGATCGCTTTTTGTGCAAAGCCATCTTGGATCATGATTTACAGTCAAAGTTCCATGCTCGCCAATAAACACCTGTAACCTAAACAGCCGTGAAAGGAGCGGAGGGTTCGTGGATTCCGCCCAATGGAAATGGCAGGTCAGACATGGACGTTAGCACATTTGCTCTGATAAACAGTGACTCTCCCACCCCAACGCTACAACGCAAGGACCATTTCTGCCACCATTTCCACGACCGATATTTCTTCTCACAGGCTTTCGCTGGCAATCTATTACAGCCGTTTACACTATGTTTACAAAACGCAGTTTATAGTTTATCGTTGCGATTTTTAAATGATTGGCTGACATAGACAACATTGAACACGTTGAACGACTTGTTTGGGATGACTATATGTACGGCTCTTCCTGAAATTGATAAATGAATTGCTCTGTATCAATGTGAATGAAGGAGTGTTCACGAAGAATAGTGATCTAAGTTACCTTGTCCGTAGCTGACATCACCTCGGTTTCTTTCGTGAAGAAGTAGCTGCAGGCCTTGGCTGGGGAGCCGCTTTAGGTGTGGGAGAAGATTTGATACCTGTTCTTGTCATGGGCGCACCTCCTGGAGGTTTTAATGGAATTGCTAAAGGTTTAGGTGGCAAAGGAGTTGGCTTCGGTTTTGCCACAGGAGGTGGCGGTGCAGCCTGAAGTAATGCCTCGGGTACCACGTCCTCGTACTGCCCTTCTGCAGCTGCTGCAATAGGTGGACGAGGAGGAGGTGGAGGAGGAGGTGGAGGTACACGTACAGGAGGAGGTCTAGGTGGTGGTGAAGTCCCAGGAGGCGCCAATTTTGATTTCGCACCAGGTACCGATGATGGCTTCAATGGTGGAACCATTTTAGACTTCGATAATACTGTATCTTCGGATGCGCATCTTTGTCTGGATCATCAGGTGGTCGGTGACAATGTGGCTATTTGAGGTGGCTGCGGAATCTTGCTGGTGGTGGTAACGTCTTCATTGCCACAGGTGTTGGTTTACGAGCTGGAGGCGGTGGTGGAGGCGGTGGTGGAGGCAGCGCCTCACCGGGTATCACGTCCTCGTATTGTCCTTCTTGAGCTGCAGCAGCGGGTGGTTTAGGAGGAGGAGGAGGTGGAGGTGGAGGTGGAAGTGGACGTGCAGGCGGAGGTTTAGGTGGTGGAGGACGTGGAGGTGGTGGTGGAGACGGGCGAGCTGGAGGTGGAGGTGGAGGAGGTGGCAACGCTTCACCAGGTATCACATCCTCATACTGTCCTTCCGGAATCGCTGCAGGGGGTGGCTTAGGGAGGGGAGGTGGAGGTGAGAAAGGACGTGCAGGTGGAGGTCGAGGTGGTGGGGGTGGTGGACGTGGAGGTGGCGACGGGCGAACTGGGACTGGGACTGGACGTGGAGGGGTTAACGGGCGTACTGGAACTGGGGATGCACGTGGAGGCGGTGGCGGGTGAAATGCGACTGGGGCTGGACGTGGGGGTGTAGACGGGCGGGCTGGGACTGGAACTGCGCGTGGAGGCGGTGGAGGTGGTGGCATGGCCGTAAGCAGTTCATCAGGTACGACGTCCTCATACTGGCCTTCACCTGCGATTGCGGTCATCGAAAGGGGTAGTGGTTCAGCAAGGGGTGCCGGTTTTGGCGGTGGAGGTGGCGGAGGAATGGCTGCTTTCATTGTTGGTTGCTTCGTCTGAAAAATAGTCAGTGTTACGACACTGGTATTTGGGCTATACAGCAGATTCTATCCTTACCGTTGTTTTAGCCAGACCTCTTAAAGTCATGAAATTCGGATCAGTCACTGGTCCTCGCCCTGTTTCAGTAGCATCTAATGGCTTCTATAAAATGACTCCCTTCAGCGGTATTTCTGGATAACACCTGACCGCAAATGTGCAGCAAGTGCAGAAGAATGAACCAACCATCGACTTCAGCTCAGGTTCACCAGGTTGGGTAACCAACGAATCAGCAAGTTCGGCAGCTCTTGTAGTTTTCTACAAATGAGATCATCCGATAGGAGTTTTTCAAACAGACTATGCTATCAGACCTATACCTGCTGTTGCATAGCTGTATTCACGTTGACCAAGGATTGTTGAGTCTGAGCCGCCATCGTTTGATCGAGTGGTCTCACAGCAGATTTCGTCGCTCTCACGCTCTGTATCAGAAGATTTTGACTGTCTGACTGCATGCCCGCTTCATTTCACAAAATTCAAGGTATTT